CAAACAAGGGGACTCATGAAACATAAAACATAAAAACAGTCGTTGATCATCCAGGTAACAACACACAGTATTAAGGATAAAGTGTAGGTACTGTAAACATTTGAACTGGTTCATATATGTTCATTTAGGTTATTATTGTGTGGTTATCTGTTATGTGAAATAGCTTGTTCATGACAATACAAAATCAAAACAAAATACATATTTTATGATTTCTCTTCTTATTATTATTACTATTGTTTTTGTTTTTTCATTATTAACCTTTTGCAAATTCTGCCATGCATATGTAATTTTATAACCTCAACTGTACATGAAGACATGTCAGTGAGGATTTTGTTTAAATGCTGTGATTGACTTTCACTCCATGTGATGATACAGATAGTGATAAAGACTGGATAATGATTCCCATGATACACTTATAATTCTTTACAATTTAAAAGTAACATAGTTTGTCCATAAGTTGTTAGGTTATAAATGTATTGTAGGCAGGAAGTCTTTTAGTGGCATAGGAATGAAGTCTTTGCAGGGCAACTGAATTTTAAATTCTAGAACTTGTGCTTGCAAAAGAGAAACATATTTCAGAACTAAATACAGTAGAAAATGTTAAAATTTGACCATGTGAATGGTTTTCCCAGGCTGCCACACATAAACTTGATATGTAGCCTAGCATACAGACCTATATGGCTAGGAAATATATTTTCAAAAGAATAATTTTGTCTGATTGTTTGTTTGATTGATTGACTAAAGGCCTAAATGGTTCTTTCTTTATTTGTGGATTCATAAAGAAACCCCAAAACACAAGCAAGTGCCTGAGGGAAAGTGTTGGATTATACATTGACAAATGAGATGGAAAACTTTTTAATGAGTTGTATTGTTGTTGTGCTTTTCCTTATTTTTTTCTTTAAGAATTGTAACTTTATTTAATGGAAGCACTAATCAAATTCCTATTATTTTAGTATAGACAAAGATGCTGAATCTTTGTTCTCGCTACAGCTCACTGTGTCAGATACACTGGTGTGCAGCATCCAATGAACATTGGAACTTTTTTAATCTGTAAACACAACTAATCTCTCTCCAGGCTGTGCCCTCTCACTTTTTTTTGTCTATTTATAGTGAGCTCCATGTGCCCTACAGAGGAGAGGCTCAGTTTAAAAAGTTTGTACCATCCCAGTAGAACAGTGTGCTGTTGGGTATGTCAGAAGCATCTGTTTCTTTTTAGGGATAAATAAACTATTGTAATGAGAATGTTATTCATCCCAATATGAAGTATTTGCATATACTATACACATACACAATAGCTCCAGAACACTCACAGTAACTGGTGTGCATTTCTTAATTAGTCCGATCTTTTTTCCTTGCTGCAAACACAATGAACATCTGATTGATGAAGCCTGAATATCTAAATCACCTAAATTTAACAAGTATGTCATTAACCTTTAAGTGGATGCAAATGGATTTTAGAGGATACATATTAATAACAGTTCTTCAGTTCTGATGCTAATTTTTATTTATTAGTTAAGCTTTCTTCAGCACAACACTATTAATAAGGACACAATTCTCCAACCCCCAGTGTGTATACAACCCATTAGCTAGGATTAAAATATATCCTTAACTTGCATCTAATATCCTAGATTTTGCCTTAGGGCTGTATTTTCATTTGCATGCATATAGAATATAGAGTAAGCTTAAGAAAGTTTAACCTATATGTTTTGTTCAGGTCAAAATAATTTGACATTTAAAAAGTTTACTAAACAGATCCCGAATGTGGCATAGTTTCACTAATGTATAGGAAAAATCATTTTGAAAATGTTTTACATTCATTACATCCTGTAATGTTAATATTATTTTCAAAATGACTCAAAATATAATTTTCAAACTAACTTGCACCTCTGAAGAGCTGCTGCAGTGATTATTTAAAAACTGCTATTCTCAATTATGGCTTTGCTTATTTGTAAGTGGCTTTAGATAAAAGAGTCTGCCAAGTGAATAAATGTAAATGTATTTATTTGTTCAGAATTAAGCATGTGTACATATATATTTAAAACAAGAGACACCTAGAAAAATACTAGCACCTACATAAACTGAATATGGAAGTATTTACAGATGTGTTAATATTTATGTAAAGTTGCCAGCTCTGTGGCTCAGGTGGTAGAGCGAATTGTCCACTATTCGTAGGGTTGGCAGTTTGATTCCCAGCCCACATGTCGAAGTGTCCTTGGGCAAGACGCTGAACCCCAAGTTGCTCCTGATGGCAAGACAGCGCCTTGCATGGCAGCTCTGCTACCATTTGTGTGTGAATGTATAAATGAGACACAGTGTAAAGCACTTTGGATAAAAGTGCCATATAAGTGCAGACCATTTTAGCTTTGATTCCAGCCTAATCTCAAGGCCCTCAACAGACACAACAAGTGATATTTACGTTTTATATAAACTTGTGCATACCAGGCACTGTTATTATGATGCTTGAGTAATGGCTCATATAATTTAAATTTAAGTACCTTTCTTATGTGCATTATAGTAATATAATAATAGTAATAAAATGCTCCATATAAGTGATAAAGTTTCCCTGAAAGGAAGTATTATTAATAATTTTTTTAGATAATAATGTTTACAGAAATATTGTCTTTGTCTTAAAACATTTATTGTCTCTTGCCTGCTGCTGTAACATTGGAATTTAATTAAGTTTTATAATATCTTATCCTTGTCTTGTCTTGTCTTCCATCCAACCCATTTCCCATACATTTTAAATTATACAGGGTCATGGGGAAGTCTCGAGCCTATCCCAAGGAACTTGGGGCACAAGGCAGGAACACCCTGGACGGGGTGTCACCCATCAATGGGCACATCACAATTTATCTTATCTTATCTTATCTTATCTTATCTTATCTTCATCCATCCATCCATCTTCTACCGCTTACTCCTTTTCAGGGTCACGGGGGAACCTGGAGCCTATCCCAGGGAGCGTCGGGCACAAGGCGGGGTACACCCTGGACAAGGTGCCAGTCCATCGCAGGACATCTTATCGTATCGTATCGTATCGTATCGTATCTTATCTTATCTTATCTTATCTTATCTTATCTTATCTTATCTTATCTTATCTTATCTTAATACATTAAACAGCATCAGCTGTTCATCATTTCCGGCAGTCAAAAGTTAGAAGTAAACACATGTGCATGTGCAGAAAAAAAACATAGATAACAGAACAGATGTCAGCATTTAGAAAAAAGAAGGTAGCCTAATGTACAAGTAAGTGGACAGTAATTGCTTTACCCAGCTGTCTGCCTTATAGATATAAAATGATAAATAATGGTTAGATAATGGTTACTTAATTTACTGAATTCTAATATTTGATCATTTCCCTGATTAATCAAAATGCTAAGTACAAATAATTACAACTAAGACTTTGGTCAACATAAATACAATTTGCATGTAAGTACTGTAAACCTCAGCAATGTGTTAAACAGTGCATAATTCCTTTTACTCCAATGTTTGTCACATACTGTATCATTACTGCTTGAATCGTTTAATTCATATGGAAAATAAAATGATCATCTGTACTAATGGTTAACTGAATTTTTAGCTGTTTAATAAGGTTGGACGTTGGTTCATTAATGGTTATTTATACCACAGTGCAGTTGAATGCTCAAATCTGATTGGTCAGAAGGTGTTTTTGTATAACAGCATAGCTCAAAATGTAGTTCTGGCTGTAAAATAAATGAAAGGATTATAATAATGCACTTGTTCTAATACGGAATCGTTTCTATACTGTCAGCTCATATACAGGGAGTTATATGGTGGACACGCCAAATAATAATAATAGACGAAAAATAAACAGATATTGTAAAAATAAATAAATAAATAAAGATGTTGGTGTTTAACAAATTAAAACATATAATCACTGATGTGAGATATTTGTTGGAAGGAGTTTCAGTTATAAGCACTTTGTATAGCCACGGTGCTTTGCGAAGACTATCAGCACAGCAAAGTCTTCAGGACAAAAAAGTTTACGCATTCTGGTTTCTTGTTAAAATGACAAGCTGCATTTTATGATAAAGAGAGAGAGAAACAGAGCAAGAGATAGGGAAAAAAGAGAGAGAGGGAAAGAAATAGAGAAAAAAGAGTGAGGATGGTGAGGGAATGACTATAACTTAAGTGAGAACAGAAAATAACTTGTTTCTCGAATGTTCCACAACATTCAATCTAACTATAAACCATTAAATGTGCAATCTTTGTACATTAAAAAAAATCAACATTGCAAGCACTGGCAAATAGTTGTAGTATAAGCAGAATAACACACTCCAGACCATGCTATGCATCATTTAGTCCTCAACGGTGTCACGATTGACACCGCGTGTTAAGCAGCGTGCTGCCGAGCATGGTGCGCATGGTGCTTTTTCGTTGTTGACAATCATGACATTTTGACACGTGCATTTTTTTATGTTTATGTTTGTTGTTTCACGTGTGTCTGAATTGCCCTCAGCCGTCAGCTTGTTTGCATATACCGCACGCCTCCCAGCACATGGTGCGGAATATTAGATTCGATATCGTATAGTAGATTAGTTTCGATTCCTCACAATAGATAACCATAGTCATAGTTCGTGTCATGTTATGTTTCAGGTTTAGATTTGTTTGTTTAGTTCACGCTGGTTTCTCCGCTCCCAGTTCATAGTCATAGCTTATGTTTCATATCTCGACCCTGTTTTCCGTGACCACGACATACAGTAGTTTCCTGCCTTCCTGTTTCCTGCCCCCGTTTATGCCTGTATATCCATCCATCCTCAACCGCTTATTCCTGCTTCAGGGTCGCGGAACCTATCCCAGGATAGGTTCCCAGGATCGAGCACAAGGCGGGGTACACCCTGGGCAGGGTGCCAGTCCATCGCAGGGCACAATCACATACACACTCACACACCCATTCATACACTAATGGACAAATAAACCTACCACGCTGGGGAGTACCCGGAGAACCGGAGTACCCGGAGGAAACCCCCACAGCACACACATGGCCCCGGCGGGAATCGAACCCCGGACCCTGGAGGTGTGAGGCTAATGCGCTAACCCACTAACCCACTAAGCCACCGTGCGCCCTGCCTGTATATAATCATATAATATTTACATATAATAGGACCTGTTGATGCAAAGATTATTTATCTCTGTTAATAAAAGGTATGATGTCTTGTGCTTTATTTACAAATGCAAGTGTTTGCAAATTGATGTGGTAGAAGAGGTATAAAACATGACAGACTGTGTTGTAATAGGAAAATAATCAGCTTATGTGTCATAACACATTTTAACAACTAATTACTTACTTAATTGTATAAGTAAGTGTTTTCAAAACATTTCATATTGGAGTATGGATTCCCTTTTGAGTTGGTTCCTCCTCAAGATTTTTTCTTATTTTGTCTCAGAAAGATTTTCTTACCACTGTTTCCTCTGACTTGCTCATTATGGTTCTTAATGAATGGTTTCTAGATTTCTAGTGCTTATATCTAACCATCACTTTGTTATGCTATTGAGTGCTGTAATTAAAACTGAGGTCACTGAGTGAATACAGTGAATCTAAGCTTAGCATAGCGGCATAGTAAATAATGCATCATTGTCACATTCTAATAGGCATATTAGTAAATTGATTCAATTTCCTTAGCTCATGCTCTTAATGCAGCTCTCCTGGGCTAAACACTTGGACACAACTGCACTTTTGTAATAGTGTTGAATGGATCATCATAAACATGCTCCTTCAGGAAGGAGATTTATCAGCGTTAGGAATACTGTCTGTTAACCCTTCATAAGAAATTCCAGACGGCCTCTTACAGATTCCACTCCAAGGTAGGTTAGAACAAGCTCATCCCACCAAAAGGCTGAATTATTATAGGGAAAATTCATCTCGGTCTCAGCAATATGTGGATAATACCACCTGAAGTGACATACACTCAATTATAGCATGGAAGTGACAGTGGGACATCAAGAACTCTCCCTGAACAAAGGGGTACATGACTGCAATTATCATTCTTAAAGAAATCTGTTTAGACAATCACATCACCCCACCATTTGGGTGATCATACCCATAATGACATCAATAATGTGAGAAGGGAAAGTGATCAACTGTTATCCTTAATTTACATTTAGAGTAAGACATCATTTACATTACATGCAGAAACAAGTGGTTTGACAAACAGTGTAAAATGTCTCAGCTGATATTGTTCAAGGTTCTCTTTGGCTCAGATGAACCTGTCTTTCTTTGTGTACTTTGTCACCGGTACAATGCCATAAAGTTATTTTTCAATGTGATCTTCGAAGTCCTCATATATATATATATATATATATATATATATATATATATATATATATATATATATATATATATATAAATTTTTTCTTACATGTTGTTGAAACAAACATTCTTCCCAGCAAATACCATTTGTGCTTTAATGAGGAATTTTCTACATTGCAACTGCACCGAGAGATAGAATTATTGCTACATATACATGCTCTTACATTGCCATTTTTATTCTGTACACAAATGGCCATGTTTTATTTGATGTGTATCACTCTTTGAAGGTGTTGGTCCATAAATATAGTTCATTTGTGGTGTAATACGTTTTTTTTTTTTTGCTGAGGAAAATGCTGTATCAACTTGTATTGTAATTAAACAACATGACATCATTAGAGTCAACTAAACCCCTTCTAAGGAAATTGTATCCTGTACAGTATGTTTAAGCCATTTGGTCTTTCATGACAACCACTAAGGAGACTCCAGCCGCGAGGTTGGTCTAGTCGCCGATGCATCATTGATGACAACTACTTTCTGCAAGATGTAAGGCAATTAATTGAAGATCTTGAAAGTGAGAAACAGCTCTCCTCCTTTTTTTCTCTGAAGGGGAAAAGGAGATTAGAGCTCCATTAAGTTCCTTTAAGCAAAGTTTCATTACTCACATGAAGAGGGCAGGCGAGGCAGGGATCAGATGATGGATGTCAGCAGAAATGAATGTTGGAGAGCTAGATTCAGCATAGACAGAGTTGAGGCACAGAGCAAGCCTCTCTCCAGGAGTATTTTAAGCCCAACAGTAGATGACAAGGCTGATATCCCTGTTTCATCCATCCATCAATCTATCTTCCCTGTCTTTTTGAAAAGGGGAAAGGGACACTGTTGGAGAAATGTTGCAAATGCAGAACAATTTAACTTAGAAATCTCTTGCATTTATCCATTTAGTAGACACTTTAAGGGGAAAAAAATACTAAAGTCTAGTCCAGCAGGGGATATAACACCATTAGGAGACTACCATTCAAAGTCCTATTTTTTGATTCTTTAATTTTCTTTCATGATTGCATATTAGTGGACGCAGTGTGGAAAAAGTGAAAGAGAAGAAAATAAAAGAAGAGAAAAGTGTTTCAGGCAGATGCAGTGTTATAAATAAACTGACTTTATAATGGGCTCATTGCAAGCAAAGATGCCCATACACATTGTACTGAGTGTTACCTATAGGCTGTAGCTGTACTTAGATATATTTAACACAACAGACAAGCACTAAAGAACATCAATGTGTCATGCGTAAGTTTATTACAGTCTGTTAAACATGAAAAGATCTGGCTAGCTAGTCTGCTTCACTCAGCTAGCTAATAGCTTACCTACGTTTCCACAGGTTAGATGTTGAGAGTTGGCTCCAATTATTTACACGTCATTATCATGCTGTTTCCTTTGAATAATTTGAAGATATCTGATAATGCTAATATGAGACATCATATCATTATATCATTGTCTTAGCCTGTTTCTGCTGCTTCTGACTAAGCATTTGGTGCCTGGAATGTGCACTTTCAGTAGAAAATTGCTTTATTTTGATTGGCTCTCAAAATTTAATTATTTAAAATTCACACATGGCATTTAATTGATTGTTAAATGCATTATTATTTTTTTTCTTTACTCTGTGGTGATCAAAAATAAATGTAACATACTTTCTTTGTAAAAAAAAAACACATCAAGTAAAAGCAATAGAGCTTTGATTTAATGATTAAATCATAGCACTTTTGCATTTACTTGGGGTTCTTTACAAAAAAAAAAATTTACATTTATTTTTGATCAACGCAAACCTTAAGAGATGCTCCTTTACTATGTAGTCATAATTTTGTTACATTGCTTTTTATGGAGTTGTATGGGTGTCACTAAATGGAAAATTGCATGAAAAAATCTGAGTTGTAAAACTGGTGGGAATTTAAGGTTTGATTTGACAACATGAAACATTTACACAAATTTACAATGAGATACTACATCAGTCCCCAATGTATGAAAAATCAGTGAGGTAGTAATCCCATGTTTCCACAGACATTATTTCTTATTACAAACATACACACAGAAGCATTAATTGTGTTGTGATTAACTGTTAGCAAGCCATCTTCCCCAATCTAATCTTTTTATTCAATAATGAGATCTTATCTATTTCATTTGGGCATAGAATAATTCTGTTTTAAAGATACTTATCGATGCCAAAGACTGACTAATAATGGTGCACTCCTCTCTTCAAGGCCAAAGACCAAGTGGTGAAGATACAGTTTAAAGCACAAGTCGGACTTGTCTCTCTCACGCACACACGTAAACACCCACACTGTTGTATCCAGCTATATGCTAAACATTGGCAACTCTCCTACTGTACCTCCTACAAATCTGATTGTGCTGTCAGCCTCCCCCTCACCTCTCTCTCCAGTAATGGCTGCAACAACGATTCTGTACCTGCCCAATGCACTTCTGTCAATAATTTACATTTTTAGCATGAAGGACTATACATTTCACTGATAATTTCCTCCATCTGGTTTACTATCTCTCTCCACCTGAGTCCAACAGTTGCTAACAGCTGCAACATTAGCAATTGCTAATCTGTGTATCCACACTCTGCTCAAAATGAAAAAAGCAGTAACATAAAGGGTAACATTAATTAATAAATAAGCAGGCTTTAACGATTACAGTTACTGGATATACTGTATACTAACATACTAAGCCTGAGGCCCAAAGATGATGTATAATATCAGCTCAAGTATAATTCTTAACTAAAATCTAATGTGCATGGTGGCTTAGTGGTTAGCATGTTCACCTCACACCTCCAGGGTCTGGAGTTCGAGTTCTGCCGTGTGTGCTGAGTTTGCATGTTCTTCCCATGCTGCGAGGGTTTCCTCCAGGTACTCTGGTTTCCTCCCCCATCCCAAAGACATTTGATAATTTTTTTCACTATATTTGTTTTACCACGTGATTGGCTTGCCTGATATATTTGTTTTCAGTTTTTTTCAAATGATTCAGTTATTTCTCGTGCATGTTTTCACCTGATTCTTGTATTTTCCTTTGTGATTTTCACACATGATTCCTTTATTTTCACTGGTAATTTTCTTCAAGATGTAATTGTTTTTAGCTGTGATTTTTTTCCACAATTTGTTATATTGACATGTAATTCTCTCACAGGATTTAGTCTTCTGATTATTAAATTATTTTCACCTGATTTCTCATGACTCCCACTTTCACACTTTCATAACCAGAGTTGGGTGTAACATAATGTGTACATTACTGTAATCGAATGACTTTTTCTGATAATGCAGTAATGTAAGGCATTGCATTTAAAATGTATGTAATTTGATTACAGTTACTGATGTCAATAAAATTTCATTACTTGTGTTACAAATTTATTGTTAAAAAAACAATATTAAGTATAATGTATTTTTTAAATAAATCACATTTTGCCCTCTATAATTTTTTCTCTAGCCCCGAATAATTATCTACTGGGAATGGTTTGTCACTACATATCTGAAGGTCAGTAAAAAATAAAGCCTGTAATTTAATATCGTCAATGAACGGAGGCGAGACCAATCAGGTCCACAGGAAAATACGTCCAAACACTCCTGTCTTATTGGTTGACTGCTCTCAATTCTGCCAAACATTAGCTCATAGTGAGTGTGAGGAAGAATTTAAATACACCGATTATTTCTTTAACCAGTAAAGGGGTTGAAACTGAAACACTAACATCCTCTCATGCTGAGCATGAAAACAAGCTGTGTAAATGTCAATATGAGTTCCAGTTTATATGAACATGATAAGAGCAG